GTCCCCCTGTTTCTATTTCTCTCTCAGTGCCTACAAGGACTGGATTTTCTTCATTCGAATCATGTGATCCATCGAGATGTGAAGAGCTGCAACATCCTTCTCGGAATGGACGGCTCTGTCAAGCTGGGTCAGTGTATTCTTGGTTAGGTTCAGCCTTCCAGGGATGTGGGGATGCTTTCAGTGACTGCCAGCTCCCCCAAAATGGTGCTGCTGGCAGTGGAGGGGCCCTGATGTGGGCTGAGGGCTCAGTTGCAAATGTGCAGAGAGGTATAATAAGGAAGCACAAGCAGTCAAGAGTGGCATTGGTCTGTGTATGTGTGTCCCTACCAGAGGTAGGGAGCAACAATCTGAACCTCCAGGGGAATAAAGGCCCCTGCTGTGAGCAGTGTTTAAAACCCTGTTTTTTTTGGGAGGTGGCCAATACCATACTTCCTTGGCTAAGGCTCCAAGGAAATGGAGAATGGAAAGTTGTCCAGGAGATTCAACAACACATTCTGAGACTGGGAGTGGGCAATTCTTTTGCTTGGTTTCCTAATTGGAGCTGCCTTTCATGGTGTGTTGTTTTCTCCACAGCTGACTTTGGCCTCTCTGCTCAGCTCACCCCTGAGCACAGGAGACAGTGCTCAGTGGCCGGCACTTCTGGGTGCAGGGTGCCTGAAGTCGTGACAGGGCAACCATATGGCCCCAAAATGGACATATGGTCTTTTGGAATCGTGGGCATCGAAATGGTGGAACGAGAAGTTCCTTCCTGGAATGAAATTCCTGTCTTGGTAAGGAGAAAATACTCTCTGATCCTGCTGACTTTCTCACCTGTCCCATGTCCTGTGTGCAATTGGACAAAATGCCATTGCCATCTGCTGGCACCACTTCCACCAAGGTCCCCTTCTAAAAATGTCCCTGCAGCACATCAGCATCTGCTGTAGGTTTGGTTGCATCAGAAGAGAAGTGGCAGGTACCCAGTTCAGAAACGTGCCATTTTGTCCTTCAGCCATTCCTGACATTTCTCCTTTGCTTTTTGAACACTGTTGGAGCTTTGTCTCTGAAGGACAAGAATATTTCAGTGGAACAGTAAGATGTGTGATGAATATCTTTCAAAATGGAGGTTGAATCTTCCCAGTTTCAGTTTTAGAGAAAAAGTAAGAAAAGAGGAAAAGGAAAAGAAATAGAAGTAGAAAAAGAAGAAGAAGAAGAAAAAGAAATAAAAATAAAAATAAAAATAAAAATAAAAATAAAAATAAAAAGAAAAAGAAAAAGAAAAAGAAAAAGACAAAGGAAAAAAAAGAAGAAAAAGAAAAAGAAAAAGAAAAAGAAAAAGAAAAAGAAAAAGAAAAAGAAAAAGAAAAAGAAAAAGAAAAAGAAAAAGAAAAAGAAAAAGAAAAAGCACCCTTGGCTCTTTCTTGGTAGTCTAACAAGAGGATGAACTCGTAGTTAGGTGCCTGGGGCTGGGATCCAAGGTGTGTGGTTGACACCGGTGCTGTTCCTTTAGCACAGGAGCAGGGCCATCCTGGGTTGCACAGTGCCAGTGACAGTGAGGACTCCAGCTCCCCACCATGTTGTGTGGCTGAGCTCAGCTCCACAGGGACAGAATAAAACCTCCTTTGTGACCTCTGGTGATGTGGGAAAAGGAAAGAAAGCTGCAAGGATTACTTTTACTCAAGGGGAATGTGTTGGCTGTTTTAGGATTGGGAGGTTTCCTGTGGATTGAAGAACACATGATAACAAAGTCTCTCTGGTCACCATCTACTTCAGTGCCACCAGCACAGAGCTGTTAGCATTGGGATGGGTGCTTTTATGGAGACCATGGCAGAGCCTGGTGTCATGGAGAACTTGCAAAAACCTCCCTTTTCTTGCCTGGCACTTTGTGGAATGCATTGGCATTTCATGAATGCATTGACTTGAGTATCCAAAGGAGCAGAGGATTACCATAGGGATGGCACTTCTCCTTCTTCTGTGTTGACCATGAGAAGGTTTCCTTTTTGCCATGTAAAGAAGCAGAAACCTGCAGACTGCTGAGACACAGAGCTGCAGGCAGCCCCTGTGTGCCCCTTTGGGCCCAAACTGGCATTTTCATCCTAATACATTTGTGCAGGCATCTTAATGTGTCTGTGTTGAATATGAGATTCCAAATGCTTGTTTCCTTGCCTGAGGAATGCCTGGTGGATTTCCTTTCTTTTCTTCCAATTACCATTGTTTTCGAGAACAACAGCGGCAAAAGCTTGATGAGTTTTGTTTTCTGGCAGCTGTGCTTAAGGGACCAACAAGCACTGCAGAGATTATTCATGTAATAATCCTTGGAAGCAGTAGAGTTAGTATAGCTAAGTCTCCAAAATAGTCATATGACAAAATATGTCAAGCTGGTGTGAATCCTCAGAGAAGGAAACATGCTTTTGGTGACGTAGTTCCCATAACCAGGTCAGTCGATGAAATCAGCTGCCAAGGCAAGATCTGCTGGATGCTGGAAAAGCTGCATTGGGATTAGGTTTTTTCTTGGTATAGGACAGTCACCTCTACCTCTCTGCTATGGCAGAAACTGCCAGTGCAGAGTGGAACTTTAACAATGGGCTCTGGGAGAGCAGTTACAGATGGGAAAGAAACAGGTGGAGCCTTGTGTTTCCTTTTTTTCCAGCATCAACGGATAGCCACAGGAGGGAGACCAAAGCTGCAGCAGCCCGACCTATTCTCACCATGCCTGTGTGATTTCCTGTGCTGCTGCCTGCAGACAGATGAGGCACGGCGCTGGTCTGCCAAGGAGCTCCTGCAGGTAAAATGCCGAGGGGCTGCAGGTGAAACAGTGACCCAGGGATGGGCTCCTCCTCCACTGCAATCCAGGTCATCAGATGAGCCTTCCTCCTCCTCACCTGTAGGGACCTGTAAAGGTCACCTGATCCAAGTGCCCTGCAATGAGCAGAGAGATCTTTAAAGGGATCAGGATGCTCAGAGCCCTCTCCCACCTGCCTGGAATGGTTCCAGGAACAGGGCACCTACGAGATTTTGGGGCAACCTGTGCTAGTGTTGCACCATGGTCTGAGTGAAGTTCTTCCTTAGACCTTAGGGGCACTGACTCGGTCCCCTTTTTCTTAAAAATATTAGCCCACATCCTGTTGTAACTGGACCTGTTCAAAAAGATGTCCCACACTCCCTCAGAAGCCAGTTAAAAGATCTGGAAAGTGGCAATGAAGTTTCCCTGGGGTCTATTCTTCTCCAGGCTGAATAACTCCAGGTCTCTCAGCCTGTCCTCAGAGGAGAGGTGCTCTGCGCTCTGTTTCTGTTGCCCTGTTCTGTAATTTGGTGGGGTGTTCAGTTTTATCTAATGACAAAAGAATTGATGTAGAGCAATCCAGATTACAGAGGTGTGTAATGGTGGTGGAGGAAGCCAAGGAAACCAGTCCTGGCTGAGTGGTCAGAGATTTGGCTGTGGGAAGGAGGGGCTGTCGAGGGCTCACTGTGAAACTCTGAGGGGCCCTGGCACGGTCAAGCAGACAGCAACTGCCCCAGGGTTACTGCCAGGTTGTGTGGCAGAGAGGGAACTGCAGGACCCAGTGCCACTC